TAAAATTATTGCTTCATTTTGAATAGATTTTGCTCGTTTTCATTTAAATCAAGTAAAAAACAATTAAAAAATATATTATTGTTCATCCTCTCAAGTGGGATAGAGCAAATTTTGAAATGGTAATATGAATGGATTTGGAGTATTAATTTGTCAGGATTTTATTGTAATTGTCAAACATTTTGAATATTATCTAATAAATTATTTATTTATTTATGTCTTTAAACAAATTGCTCTATTTTATTGAGCACGCATCTTAAATTGACAGGCGACATACAAATTGCTTGCACAGAGAAGCACACATATACTTTTTTGTATATGGATCGGGAAATAATTATCTTAGACCGATGAATAAAGGTTGACCTTTTCTAATAAGGACAACTACTTTACCGATTGGGATATGCGATTAGTCTTGATGGTGAGTGTAAGGATTTCGAAAATACTAATATTAGTATATCTGAAAGTGTATAGAACATGACCACAATATAGAGTGCAAGTCTATAACATCGATGTAAGAAGAATTAAACGATATATGAATGCTTTTATGGATTGCCTAAATCTATATCAGATGAGTGGTTGTTATTTTGAAATTTAGAGTCTTTGATGTGTTCGTGATTAATAACTAATTATACGGTCACATATCTTGGTGAGTAGGGAGCCGAAAAGCAAGTAGAGAGCATGTATTTGTTGCCCATGTGGATCAACAGATGAATATGCTCAAGTATTTTCTTTACGCAATTTAGCCCCCGTTTGACACCCATTTTTTATCTCATTCTCATTCTCATTTTTCTACGGTACTCATTTCTAACCACGCATTGTCCAAATAAAATAATATTACACATAAATCGAAAAATTCTTCTTACTTTTTAACCACACATTCTTTACATAAATCACTATTCAAAAACTCATTATCCTTGTTAAATGATTTTGGACATTGTGTATTCTTGTATCATTCCATGCTTATGAGACTAAAGCTTCTCCATCTTTTCTATTTTGTAGTCCCTTAATTTTTATTTTCTCCATCATTTTTCTTTCTAGTTATCAGATCTCTTTGTTGATAGAGGAATGACAAATAAATGTCTTCTAAATTCAAGATTCATCTTGGTCATTATCTTGTTGCAAACTTTGTTTCTCACAATATTTTTTACTATGCAAAATATTCAACGACGATCTAAACTTTTAGAGGAGAATAAGAATGCAATTTTCTCTACAATATCATATACTTGTTTGGGTACATTTTGAATGAATTTTTGCTTGTTTTCACCATCTATAGCAAATCAAGAAATGAAACTCCATCAATGTACAATAAAATTATTGCTTCATTTTGAATAGATTTTGCTCGTTTTCATTTAAATCAAGTAAAAAACGATTAAAAAATATATTATTGTTCATCCTCTCAAGTGGGATGGAGCAAATTTTGAAATGGTAATATGAATGGATTTGGAGTAATTAATTTGTCAGGATTTTATTGTAATTGTCAAACTTTTTGAATATTATTTAATAATTTATTTATTTATGTCTTTAAACAAATTACTCTATTTTATTGAGCACACGTCTTAAATTGACAGGCGACGTACAAATTGCTTGCACAGAGAAGCACACATATACTTTTTTGTAAATGGATCGGGAAATAATTATCTTAGACCGATGAATAAAGGTTGACCTTTTCTAATAAGGTCAACTACTTTACCGATCGGGATATGCGATTAGTCTTGATGGTGAGTGTAAGGATTTCGAAAATACTAATATTAGTATATCTGAAAGTGTATAGAACTTGACCACAATATAGAGTGCAAGTCTATAATATCGATGTAAGAAGAATTAAATGATATATGAATGCTTTTATGGATTGCCTAAATCTATATCAGATGAGTGGTTGCTATTTTGAAATTTAGAGTCTTTGATGTGTTCGTGATTAATAACTAATTATATGGTCACATATCTTGGTGAGTAGGGAGCCGAAAAGCAAGTAGAGAGCATGTATTTGTTGCCCATGTGGATCAACAGATGAATATGCTCAAGTATTTTCTTTACGCAATTTAAATTGGAGCTCAGTATTTAATGTCGGACAAATAAATTCCACGATGTTGATCACGTAGAAACTATGAAAAAAAATGCGAGCTGAAGTAGAATAATGATTATGATGGCAAAACGGTCATTTTGTTCTTATAATTATTCAATGTTCGATGGGCATTCTGCACATCCAACGTTCAGTTCAGTATGTAATTACATGAAATTGAAATAGTTTTTCTTTTATTATTTTATATATGGAAAAATTCACAATTACATTGAAAAATAAAATATATCTCAATATACTACACAACCTCTTCTTTCTTTCCTTTTTTTTTTTTCACTTAAGTGATGTTTTTCTTATTATTTTTTATTTTAATTTCTTTGACATTATATTCTATAACAAGTTGTGTTACACTGTATTACATTACGTGACACATATTTCAGCGCTTGATTCCGTTGTTGTTGCTACCACTTGTAACATATGGTGTTATATTATTGTCTTCATTGTCACACTTGTAACATTCAGTGTTATGACACCACTACTATCGTCCATGCCACCCACACTCATTACATAATATGTTAAGTTGTTATCGTTAACACAGGTACCACCACCATTATTTTCACTACCACCATTGACATCAATCTCGACGCCACCAGCATATCTCTCCTACCATAATAAATTACCAACACCGCCATCAATACTACCCCATCTCACCACCATCATAAATTTTAAGCGCCACCTTTGCCCTCACTTTCGTAAACACCATAATGTACCACTATCACATGAAACCATCATCACAACCACAAAAAACTATTCTTACAAAACAATATAAAAATCTGATCCAACATGTTTGTAGTCGTCTACTCATAAAACATTTGTATAAAAAAAAATTGAGCACTGAAGGAAGTAGTGGTGGTGGCTAAATGGGGTTGCAAATGGTTTTATATGGTGAAAGTGGTGATAGATAGCGAGACGATAATGGTGGCGATGAATGTGAGGGTGATGAAAGTGGTTGTTGACAACCGCTTTGGTGGTGGGAGTGTTATTTTTAGGATTTGTGACGGGAATGTGATTTGAGCATTTTTTCGTTCTAAAAATAATAGTGTTTTAAAAAGAATAAAATATGAAAGCCAAGTTTCAAGCTTTGCAAGTCTAGACGTGCTTAGGCTAGACTTAGGCGTATAAAAAACATTTTTTTACTTTTAATATTATTTTAAATTTTTAATCATTTTAAAAATCATTTAATAATTAAAATAATATATACCAAACATCTCAAATTATAAAATACTATATTTTTTACTTAATAATTCGAACAAATAATCAATTATATAATGTTTAAGTTTTCGAAATAAAAAATGTAGACTATTTTTCATAATTTCAACTTTCAAATAAACAAATCCTACTTGAAATTTCCTAACGTGTTTTCATTTTTGACTTTTATACAGATAAATTCATTTAAAAATTTAAAACTAAAGTCAAATAAAAGATTTTTAAAAAAGAAAAACAAATAAACAAATTAATAGAGCGCCACTAGGCACTCATTGTCAAGGCGTTGTGTTTCGCCCAAGACAGGCCAGCTTTTTAGAATGCTAAAAAATAGTTTTTACTGACTCAATATCAATTACATGTAAATTTAGAATTTGAAAACATATGGGGAAGGTAGATACTTGTTGAAATAGTTATAGTCCACACGGATGCCATGCCATCTATGAAAAGGACCCCATCGTGAGTCCACATGTCATGGGACAAATATTTATTCTTTGATCGTTGAAGATTGTTGGAGAAAAAGAATGCATTGGCCACCAAAGCTCCCCTGAGCAAAGGAGTATGCAGAATCCTAACACTTCGTTAGAAATATAACTCATGTTTGGCTTCTCATTTTCTAAAACTATTTTTTTTTCAAACATTTTCAACCAATGGGATCCGCAACTTTTATTAACTTTTTTCACTAACATATTTCATCAACTTTTATCAAAATCTATTAAATATCTTATTTTTAGCTAAACCAAAGGGGTTTAATATATTATGGACATAAAACCTATTTTTAAAGGTTAAGAACAAGCCCTAAATTTTCCTAATTATTTTATGCATTGTAAGTGATGGCAATGTGGAGTTGATTAAAATGGTGTTGCTTGCGCTTGGTTAAACCATATCATCAAGTATAATGACGCGATGCAACTCTTCTTCCTTAATAGGAACATTGTATTATCCGATCCTCACATAAAGGTGTTTTGGCTAACTCGAGTGAGTGCATATTACATCTTGTTCTTTAACACTTGAAATCTCCAAATTCCGAAGGAATGAAGTTATTGTCAAAGGGATGTTCTTGCCCCTACAACCTAATGAAGCACAAATATGGTGTGCTTGTGGCTAGTGGTTTGAAGTACAATTTTGAAAAGTTCTTTCCATGTTTGAAGCCTCCAAATCATATTCAAGCATATTTGAGCGTTGTTTATGTTGAAAATAAGTTTTAAAACTTTCAAATTGAAAATTAAAATTTCAATTTTCCTGCAATTTAATTTTTAGATTCAATACAAAATTTAATCTCTTTATTTTATATGTAATATATATTTAATTTGATTAATTTTCATTATGAGAGCGTTAAATTTTTCCACTATAAACGGGAGTGGATATCCCATTGTTTTACACACAACAAAACAAAACTTTAAAACACTCTCTAGTTATCTCATATTATCTATAAGGTTTCATGCCTTATAGATAAACTTCTGGATTTTGCTAAAAGTCTTAGACATAAGCAAGGGATTTTAACATTGAACAAAGTATTAAATTCTTTGAGAATAGAAGAGCATCATAGAAATCGTATCAACAAAGTTGATGAATCACATGCTAAAGCAAATTTGGTAGAATATTCAAAAACCCATACTAGCTCCTCAAATCAATTTAAGTCTCGAGGTAACAAATTTAAGAAAAACTTCCACCAATAAAGAAAAAATTTCCAACCTAAGCATAACTACACTAAGGATAACAAATGCAAAGCGAAGAAGGAGCAATGGCCATGTTATGTATGTGGAAGAACCAACCATCTCGCTCGAGATTGCTACTACAAAGGACTAAGGAGTACAAGCTTAAACACAAGTTTCAAAAGGATGAAGTAAACATGTTGAAGGATGGTGAACATTCCATTAGGTATGAATCGTCAACCTCTTTAGTTAATTTTACTTATACTAGTAATGAATGGTGGTTAGATTTTGGAGCAAATGTTCATATTTGTTTTGATAAGAGTTTGTTTAAATCTTATCAAACTGCAAGCTGAGGAAGCGTAACTTTGGGAAATGACTCCATCGCTTCTGTATTGGGAATTGGAAGTGTCAAGCTTAAGATGACTTACGGGAAGAGTTTAATTTTTGATCAAGTTCGCCATATTCCTGAAGTTAGAAGAAATTTAGTTAGTGGATCATTTTTAGTTCAACGAGGTTTTAAATTTGTGATGGAATCAAATAAGGTTGTTATAACAAAAAACAATGTTTTTGCTGGGAAATGTTATATTAGTAATGGATTCATGTTAGTAATATGAAGATCAAGAAACTTATGGATCTAAACTTGATTCCAAAATCTCAAGTTGGTAATAATAAGTGCGACGTTTGTGTGCATGCCAAACAAAGTAAGCGAACATTTAAATCTATTAGAAGGGATACAAACCTCTTAGAATTAATTCATAGTGATGTTTGTGATTCTAATAGAATGCCTTCACGAACAGGTAATAAATATTTTGTAACATTTATAGATGACTATTATATGTATTGCTATATTTATTTATTGTAAATGAAGGATGAAGTCTATGACAAGTTCAAAATATATAAAACAGAGTCGAAAACCAATTAGAATGTAATATAAAAATCTTGAGGTCCGATAGATGAGGAGAATATGCCGGGAATGATCTTAAGGATTACAGTGAGAATAATGGTATAATACACGAAGTGACACCTCCTTATTCACCACAATCCAATGGTATTGCAGAAATGAGGAATGTAACTTTAATGGATATGGTAAATGTTATGCTCATAAGTTCAGGAGCACCTAAAAACTTATGAGGTGAAGCTATCCTAACTTCTTGTTACACATTGAATCGAGTAACTGTTAATGACAATATTAAAACTCCATATGAGCTATGGTAAAAGAAATCTTCTAGGTTAGATTTTCTAAAAGTGTGGGCTGTTTGATAAAGGTAGTTATACCTAATCCTAAAAGAAAGAAAATAGGACAAAAAACTGTAGATGCTGTTTTCATAGGATATGCTCAAAATAGTAGTTCAAATAGGTTATTGATTGTAAATTCTGAAGCAAGTGACATTACAAATAATACTATCATTGAAGCTAGATATGCTACTTATTTTGAAGTTTTTTTTCTATTTAAGACTATAATTTCAAGTGAATCCTCGACTTCTAAGAAAGTGTTTTTAAGTAGTACTCAATTTAGTTTATCTTTAGAAGGTGAAGTTGAACATGAAATTAGGAGGAGTAAAAGGACTTGGAAAGAGAAATCGTTTAGAGAAGAATTCTTTACATATCTAGTTGAAAGTGAACCTAAAACTTATAAAGATGCTATGGTCTCTCTACTGATCCATCTCATTGGAAAGAAGCTATCAATGATGAGTATGAGTCAATTATAAAAAATAAGACTTAGGTTTTATGTGATTTGCCTTACGGTAGTAAGGCAATATGATGTAAGTGTGTATTTAAAAAGAAGTTGAAACCTGATGGAAATATAGATAAATATAAAGCCAGGTTAGTAGGTAAAGGATTCACTCAAAAAGGAGTCGATTATTTTGATACATATTTTATTGTTGCAAGAATAACTTCTATTAGGACATTGTTAGCTAGTGGTGTCAATGGGCTGAGCCGAGCTACCTCGGACCATATTCACACGAGCTCAACGAGCCGAGCTTGAGCTCGGCTTGTGCCCGAGCTCGCCCAAAACGAGCCGCTCGGCTCGTCGGCTCGTCATTTTTTACGTCAATTTTTTTTAACACTACTATAACTAATTAACTAAATCTTAAATTCAAAAAATATATATATACACATTTTCTATTTTTTTAAAAATATATATTTT